TGCTATCTCTCTCGAACTCCCCACCCCCTGCTTTCCCTCCCCTATTTCCCCCCTACAGACCCCAGTGTGTGAGGCTCCCCTCCCTGTGTCCATGTGTTCTCATTGTTCAACACCTGCCTATGAGTGAGAATATTTGGTGTTTGATTTGATTTTCTGTTCTTGTGTCAGTTTGCTGAGAATGATGGTTCCCAGGTTCATCCATGTCCCTACAAAGGACGTGAACTCATCATTTTTGATGGCTGCATAATATTCCATGGTGCATATGTGCCACATTTTCCCTGTCCAGTGGGCATTTGTGTTGGCTCCAGGTCTTTCCTATTGTAAACCGTGCTGCAATGAACATTCATGTGCATGTGTCCTTATAGTAGAACGATTTATTCCTTTGGATATATACTCAGTAATGGGATTGCTGGGTCAAATGGAATTTCTATGTCTAGGTCCTTGAGGAATCGCCACACTGTCTTCCACAATGGTTGAATTAATTTACACTCCCACCAACAGTGTAAAAGTGTTCATATTTCTCCACATCCTCTCCAGCATCTGTTGTCTCCTGATTTTTTAATGATCGCCATTCTAACTGGCGTGAGGTGGTATCTCAATGTAGTTTTGATTTGCATTTCTCTAATGCCTGGTGATGATGAGCTTTGAGATTCCTTTCTAATTACTGACTCTCAGAACTGAAAGAGAATAAGCTTGTGTTACTCCAAGTCATTAAGTTTGTGGTAATTCATTGCAACAGCAGTAGGAAACTCATGCACTGGGTTTTATGTTTCTTTTTCTCTTGCTTGGAGATTTTTCATAGAAGCTACTTTCACATATTGAAAGTATGTTTTTCTTCTTATTTCTGCATTCTCACTGTTCTGGAAAGATAAGAATTAGAACTAAAGATTAGTAAAATGGATGGAGCTTCTTTAAACACTCTAATATTAAAATTAATATCTATGAAGGTCAACATCCTAGAAATATTGGAAAACTGGAAATGGATAATCCATTTCAAAAACAGAAATAAACCCTCAAATAATCTTTTTTTAAAATTTAATTTCAGCTGTTTATTCACGGAGCCAACCCACATACTCTTACAGTTTCATACTCTTATGGTTGAAGATAATTAAACAACCAAAAAGGATATTAAATATCATCTGCTAAAATTCTCTTATTTTAAAGGTTAAGACATTAAAGCCGAAAGATTCATTATCACCCCATGTTTCACATTTAACATGAGAATGACTATTGTTTTTTATTTGTTTGTTTTCAGCAGCATTCATTGAATAGGGAGTCCTTTCTCCATTTCTTGGTTTCCTTGGCCTTGTTGAAGATCAAAAGGTTGTAGGTGTGTAGTTTTATTACTAAGTTTTCTGTTCCATTCCATTGTTCTATGTGTCTGTTTTTGTAACAGTATCAAGCTGTGGTTACTGTGGCTTTATAGTATAGTATAGTTTGAACCTGAGTAGTGTGATACCTCCAACTTTGTTCTTTTTACTCAGGATTGCTTTGGCTATTCAGGCTCCTTTTTTGGTCCCATATGAGTTGTAAAGTAGTATTTTTCTAATTCTTCACAGAAAACTTTGGTAGTTTGATAAAAATAGCATTGAATCTGTAAATTGCTTTTTATGATTTTGGTTCTTCCAATCTATGAGCATGGAATATTTTTCCATTTATTTGTATCCTCTCTGATTTCTTTTAACAGTGTTTTGTAGTTCTCCTTGTAGAGATCTTTCACCTCCTTGATAAGCTGTATTCCCAGGTATTCTCTTAGTGCTAAATGTAAGTGAAACTGTGTTCTTGATTTGACTCTCAGCTTGGATGTTATTGGTGTATAAAAGTGGTACTGATATTTGTACATTAATTTTGTATACCAAAACTTCTAAAGTCGTCTATCAATTCTAGGATTCTTTTGTCAATCTTTAGGATTTTCTAGTTATAGAATCATATTGTCAGTGAGGAGAGATAGTTTAACTCCTTCTTTTCCTATGTGAATGCCTTTTATTTCTTTGACTTGCTTAACTGCTGTCGCTAGGATTTCCATTACTATGTTGAATAAAAGGAGTGAGAGTCAACATCTTTGTCTTGTTTCAATTATCAAGTGGAATGCTTAGAGCTTTTCCCATTTAGTACAATGTTGGCTATGGGACTGTCATAGATGGCTCTTATTATGTTGAGTTGTGTTCCTTCAATGCCTAGTCTGTTGAAGGTTTTTGTCTTAAAGAAATGTTGAATTTTATTGAAAGCATTTTCTGCATATATTGAGATAATCATATGGTTTTTATTTTTGATTCTGTTTATATATTGAATCACATTTATTAATTTTCATATGCTTAGCAAGCCTTGTATCCTAGGAATAAAGCCTACTTGATTGTGGTGTATGAACTTTTTGATGTACTGCTGGATTCAATTTCCTAGTATTCTGTTGGGGATTTTTGCATCTGTGTTCATGGGGGGTATTGGTCTGAAGTTTTCATTTTTCATTGTGTCTCTGCCAGATTTTGGTATCAGGCTGATGCTGGCTTCACAGGAAGAGTTAAGGAGGGGCCCTTTCTCCTCGACCTTTTAGAATTGTTTTGGCAGGATTGGTATCAGTTCTTTGCATGTCTGGTAGAATTTGGCTGTGAATCCATCTGGCCCAGGGCTTTTTTGTTTGGTAGTTCCTTTATTACCGATTCAATTTCAGAAGTTTGTGTCGATCTATTCAGGGTTTCAATCTTTTCCTGACTCAATTTTGGGAGATTATGTGTGTCCAAAAATTTATTCATTTCTTCTAGATTTTCTAATTTGTGTACATAGAGTTTTTCATAGTCATCTCTGAGGATCTTTTGTACTTCTGTGGGATCTGTTGTAACATCGTCTTTGTTGCTTATGACTGTGCTTATTTTTATTTTTTCTTTCTTTTTCTTTGTTAATCTAGCTAGTGGTCTATTAATCTTATTGATTTTTTAAGAACCAACTCTTTGTTTCATTAATCTTTTGTATACATTTTTGCATCACAATTTCATTAAGTTCTTCTCTAATTTTAGTTATTCATTTTCTTCTGCTAGCTCACCCTCAAGTAATCTTAATCCATAGTTGGGCACAGGTGACTTGCCCTTGCACATGCCAGAAGGGACATAAATCTTCTGTGTGAGCAGATGATCTAATCTAGTGACTCCACATATTTTGTATACACACACACACACACACAAATATAATATTTGGCATCAATTTTTTTTAAAAATAAAAACCTTGTCAGAAGAGAAAACCAAATGATCAAAATATCAGGAGAACAAAACAAGCAGTAATAACAGACCCCCAAATGATTTGCAAAATGGAGTTACTAGCACATACTTTAATTGTGATTAATATGTTTAAGAACACAAATTACAACATATAAAAGTTCACCATAGAACTAGAAGCTGTAAAAATAATAAATAGATAATTTTAGAGCTAAACTGTAACAACTCAGATAAAGAACTTAATGTAGGGGTTAAACAGATGTAAGGGAAGACAGGATCGGTGAATTAGCCCATCTTTACCAATGAAATTCAGCATTGTAGTGGAAGTTAGAGCCACATAAATCAGGAAAAGAAATAAAAGACATGCAAATTGTAAAGAAATAGTTAAAACTATCTTTATTCACAGATGACATAATCCCACATATAAAGAATACACTAAATAATGTATACAAATGTTATATTATTAAGGATAATAACTGAAATCTACCATTTCTAGGTACAGATCAACTTGCAAAAATTAGTTGTATTTCCCTACACTAGGAATGAAAAATCTGAAAAAAAATTTAAGAATGCAATTTTATTTAGAATAGCATGAAAAGATAAAAATAGTAGTAAATTTAACCTTGAAAATGTAGGACACTTACAATGAAAATTTTAAAATGTTGAAAAAAGAAATTAAATGTGAATTACCTAAAAAAAAGGCAAGTTGTTTCGTGTTCATGGATCATAAGAGTTAGTATTGCTAAGATGGTTATACATTCTAAAGTGATCTATAAATTAATTGCAAACCTCATCAAAATCTCAATATCCTATTTTACAGAAATGGAAACGTTGATTCTGAAATTCATATGGAATTACAAGAGGCCTTGATTACCAAAACAATACTGAAGAAGAAGAGGAAATTTGGAGGACTCACACTTCCTGATTCCAAAACCTATTAAAAAGCAACAGTAATCAAAACTGTCAAGTGTGGACATAGGATAAACATATAAATCAATGGTATATAATTAAGAGTGCAAACAAATATTGATACATGTATGGTCAACTGATTTGTGACAGGGATTCTAAGACCATTTAATGGAGGAAATGAGAATGTCTTCAACAAATGATGCTAGAACAATTGGATAACCACATACAGAAGAATTAAGTAGAATTCTTACCTTATACCATGTACAAAAATTAACTCAAAATGGATCAAAGATATAAATGCAAGATGTAAAGCTATAAAATTCTTGGAATAGAACATGGGGTACATATTCATTACCTTGAAATTGGCAACAGTCTTTTTACATATGACAAGAAGCAACAAAATTAATAAGTAAATTGGAATTCATCAAAATTTTGAAAATTGAAAATTCAAGAAACTGAAGGCAAACTACTGAGTGGTAAAAATACTTCAAGTTCATGTATGTGGTAAGTGTCAATATCCAGAATATATTAAAAAATTAAAACTCAACAACAAAATGATAAGCCACCCAATTATAATGGGCAAAGGATTTGAAGAGACATTTCTCCAAAGAAGGTATACACATTAAAAAAAATGTTCAACATTTGTCATTAGGAAAATCTAAATCAAAACCACAATAATATATTAGTTTACATTCACTAAAATGGCTGACATTAAAGAAATAAAAAAGGAAAATAATAAGTGCTAGTGAAGATATGGAGAAATTTGAACCCTTATATATTGCTGGTGGGAATGCAAAATATTGCAGCCCCTTTGGAAAACTTTGCCAGTGCCTAAGAAGTTTTGATTTTCTTTTTTTTTTTCTTTTTCTTTTTTTTTTTTTTTTGCCTTGTCACACCACTGATTGAAGCAGAACAACACAACATGCTGCCACTTCACCCAAAAGTGGTGTTTTTTATTCTCCCCTTTCTTGACAACTCAATAGGTCATTAGCCATAGGCCCATTGAGTGCTTTTAAAAAGGGGGAAGAAGTTTTGATTTTCTAAATGCGTATTCAGTTTCATGATCCTTCTGTACTTCCTCCTATTATATTTTGACACAATTGAAAAATGAGTTATAGTTGAAAATACGTATGTGTAATCAAGCAAAGGCTTAGGCAGAAGAAATATAAATTAACTACTGGAAATTGAATCTAGTTTAACCTGGACTTTCCCAATGATTCATTTTTCCTTTTTAAGCTAAGCAATAGAACTTCTACATCATACCAAAGAATGTTGCTTTTACAAAATGAGACTACGAAACCTCCATCTAAAATAAAGGTTAAGATTTTGTTCTTCAGTAATCTTAATATTTAATAGAACAATATAAAATAGAATGACAGAATTCTAAGAATTTATGCACTAAAGAGACTTCTAAAATTCTTATAAAGTGCCTCAGAATATTTTTAACTTTAATTTTAAGTTCGAGTATACATTTGCAGGCTTGTTATATAAGTAAATTCATGTCATGGGGGTTTGTTGTACAGATAATTTCATCACCCAGGTATTAGACCTAGTACCCATTAGTTATGTTTCCTGATCCTCTCCCTCCTCCCAACTTCCACCATTTGGAATGCCCCAGTGTGTGGTGTTCTCCTTTATGTGTCCATTATGTTCTCAACATTTAGTTCCCACTTATAAGTGAGGACATGCAATATTTGTTTTTTTGTTCCTGCATGAGTTTGTTAAAGATAATGCCCTCCAGTTCCATCTACGATCCTGAAAAGAACATGATCTCATTCTTTTTTATGGCTACATAGTATTCCATGGAATATATAGTATTCCATAGTACATCTGGCACATTTTCTTCATCCAGTCTATCATTGATGGGTATTTAGGTTGATTCCATGTCTTTTGCCATTGGGAATAGTGCTGCATGAAAATATGTGCATATGTGTCTTTATAATAGGACAATTTATACTCCTTTGGGCATATATCCAGTAAAGGGATTGCTATGTTGAATGGTACTGTTGTTTTTAGGTCTTTGAGGAATCATCATGCTATTTTCCACAATGGTTGAACTAATTTACACTCCTACCAGCAGTATGTAAGTATTCTCTTTTCTCTGCAACCTTACCAGCACCCGCTATTTTTTGACTTTTTAATAATATCCATTTTTGCTGGTATGTGATGGTATCTCATTGTGTTTTTTATTTACATTTTTCTAATAATCAGTGATGTTGAAACTTGTTTTATTGTAATGTGGCTGTTGGCCACATGTATGTCTTGTTTTGAAAAGTGTTCTTTCTCAACAGAAGACATTCATGTGGATAAAAACAAAAAGAAAAAAAGCTCAACATCACTGATCATTAGAGAAATTCAAATCACTATGAGATACCATCTCACATCAGTCAGAATGACAATTATTTATTTATTTATTTATTTATTTACTTACTTACTTACTTACTTACTTAAGATGGAGTGTCTTTCTCTGTTGCCCAGACTGGAGTGCAGTGGCATGATCTCTGCACACTGTAGCCTCCACCTCCCAGGTTCAAGCAATTCTCAGCCTCAGCCTCCTGAGTAGCTGGAATTGTAGGCATGTGCCACCATGCCCAGATAATTTTTGTATTTTTAGTATAAACAAGGTTTTGCCATGTTGGTCAGGCTGATCTTGAACTCCTGACCTCAACTTATTCACCTGTCTTGACCTCCCAAAGTGCTGGGATTTCAGGCGTGAGCCACCATGCCTGGACTGGAATGTCAATTATTAAAAAGTCAAGTAACAACAGATGCTTGTGAGGTTGCAGAGAAAAAGGAACACTTCTATACTGTTGGTCGGAATCCAAATGAGTTCAACCGTTGTGGAAGACAATGTGGCAATTCCTCAAAGATCAACAAACAGAAATACCATTTGACCAGCAATCCCATTACTGGGTATATACCCAAAAGAATATAAATCATTCTATTACAAAGATGCATGCACACGTATTTTCATTGCAGCACTATTCACAATAGCAAAGAAATGAAATCAACCCAAATGTCCATCAATGAGAGACTGGATAAAGAAAATGTGGTGCATATATACCATGGAATACTATGCAGCCATAAAAAGGAATGAGATCATGTCTTTCCTAGATGGACTTGAAAGCTGTTATCCTCAGCAGATTAGTGCAGAAAGAGGAAACCAAACACCACATGTTCTCATTAAATAAGTGGATCTGAATAATGAGAACACATGGATACATGGTTGGAAACAACACACAGTGGGACCTGTGGGAGATATGGGAGGAGGGAGAACATCAGGAAGAATAGCTAATGAATGCTGGGTCTAACACCTAGGTGATGTGTTGATTTGTACAGGAAACTACCATGGCAAATGTTTACCTATGTAACAAATCTGCACACCCTGCAAATGTACCCTGGAACTTAAAAAAAGTTGAAGAAAAAATAAGTGTCTGTAATGGCTTTTGCCCAGTTTTTAATGGGGTTGTGTGTTATCTTTTTGTAAATTTGTTTAAGTTCCTAATAGATGCTGAATATTAGACCATCATTGGATGCATAGTTTGTAAAGATTTTCTCCCATTCTGTAGGTTGTTTGTTTACTTTGTTGTTAGTTTCTTTTGCTGTTCAGAAGCTCTTTGGTTTAATTAGATACCGTTTCTCAATTTTAATTTTGTTCCAATTACTTTTGGTGTCTTCATCATGAAATCTTTGCCCATTCCTATGTCCAGCATGGCACTGCCTAAGTTGTCTTCCAGGGTTTTTATAGTTTTGGGTTTTACATTTAAGTCTTTAATCCATCTTGAGTTGATTTTTATGTATTGTGAAAGGGAGAGGTCCAGCTTTAATCTTATACGTATGGCTAGCCAGTTATCCCAGCACCATTTATTGAAAAGGAAATCCTTTCCCCTTTGCTTGTTTTTGTTGACTTTGTGGAAGATCAAATAGTTGTAGGTTTGTGGCCTTATTTCTGGGCTATTTTGTTCCTTTGGTTTATGCGTCTGCTTTTGTTCAAGTACAAAGCTGTTTCGGTTTCTGTAGCCCTGTAGTATAGTTTGAAGTCAGATAGCATGATGCCTCCAACTTTGTTCTTCTTCCTTAAGATTGCCTTAGCTACTTGGGCTGTTTTTTGGTTTTATATGGATTTTAAATTATTTTTTCTAATTCCATGAAGAATGTCATTGGTAGTTTGATAGGAACAATATTGAATGTGTAAATTGTTTGGAGCAATATGGCCATTTTAATAATATTGATTCTTCCTATCCAGGAGCATGGAATGTTTTTCCACTAGTTCGTGTCACAAGAAGTTAATCATAGAATTATCACATCACCAAACAATTCTACTCCTTTGTATATACCCCCCACAATTGAGGACAAATGCTCAAAGAAATGCTTGTATATGAATGTTCCAAGCAGCATTATTCATAATAAGCAACAAGTGGAAGCAACTCAAATGTTCATCAAATGATGAATGCATAAGCAGAATGTGATATATCCACACAATTAAATACTATTAAACCATAAAGGAATGGAGTACTGGTACATGCTACAACATAGATAATCCTTGAAAACACTATATTATATTATTCTTTTTATATAAAATGTTCAGTATAGACAAAGTTACAGAGACAAAAACTAGGTTTGTGCTTTCCAGGTCCTCGTGGCAGGGTTTATAGAGAGGGACTGCTTAATGGGCATGAGATTTCCTCTTGTGGTGAATGAAGAAGTTCTGGAACTAGATTGGTAATGATTACACAACACTGTGAATGTACTAAATGTCACTGGGTTATACACTTTAAAATGGTTAAGATAGTAAATTTAATAAGCGTATTTTACTACAATTAAAAAATAAAACATGAATCTTAGAAAAATTCTTCCAAGAATAGAAAACAAACATAACATTTGAAATGTATTTTATATGACCTGAAAAATATTGATACCAATACCTAAAAAGGATATCAAAAGAAAGAAAAAGTACAGGCCTATCTTCCTCATAGAAGCAAAAATCCCAAATAAAACTTTTTCAAATTGAACCTACAGATATATAAAAGGGAGAATGCCTAGTGAAGTTTATTTTAAGAAGGCAATATTTGTTTGGTACTTAAAAATAAATGAGAAAAATGAGAAAAGACATGAAGAAACTTTATTTGGAATGAAAAGACATGAATATAACCATTAACCTGGTCTTGATCCACAGACAACCTACAGACCTTTAATAAGAAATATATCTTCGTTGTCTAATTAAAATTTTTGAAGTTAACATTTAGCAAAAGTTGAATAATAGATATGGATTTACTGTATATATGACTTGGTAACCAATATTGTAAAAATGTCAATTGTCTCCAAATTAAGCCAGAGTTAGTACATTCAGAATCAAAATCTTGGTATTATATTTTGCTGTTGGAGAACTTGAAAAGCTGATTCTAAAATATGTATGGAAATCAAAGTGCCAAAAATGACAAAGCGTATCTTGAAGGGGAAGAATAAAATAGGGAGACTTATAATGATAAATAGCAAGACATGTTATAAAAGTATAGTAATTAAAAACAGTGTAGCATTGACATAGAGACACAAATAGATGAAACAAAATAGAGTCTGTAATCATCCATACATAGATCTTATAAGATCTTCTGATTTATAACAAAGATATCTCTTTAATCAGTGGGGAATGGATGGTTTATAATATAAATGGTCTGACTGCATGAGTTAACCATACATTGGGAAAAATATCAAATCCTAACAAGTATATCACACCATACGCAAAGATCAATTCCATATGGGTACTAAACATGAATGCAAAATTTAAAACAATTAAGCTTTTTGGATAATGTAGAATATCTTCATGACTTTAGAGTAAGCAAATTTTCTTAAATTAGAAAAAAAGACGTAATAAAATATTGATAATTTAGACCTCATTGAAATTACAAACACTGTTTATCAAAAGATCTTGTGTGCTGCAACTTTCTTGAACTCACTTAGTAGTTCCAATAGCTCTTATGTGAACTGTTTGGAATTTTATAAGTAGAAAATTCTGTCAACTGTA